AAAGAAAGAAAGAAAGAAAGAAAGAAAGAAAGAAAGAAAGAAAGAAAGAAAGAAAGCAAGCTTAGGATACATTTGAACATTTAATAGCATCCCAGGAAGGTTTAGAAAATTAATCTGGGGCATTTAGACAGGGTAGCATCTACCTGGTTTTCTGGTGAGGTAAACATAGAGTGATTTAAAAAAAAGAAAAAGAAAAAGAAACTCCAGGAATAAGTCAATAAAGGTGTGGTGTTATTTACCTGAAGATGGACCACCTGGGGCATGAGGTTGTCAAAGTAAGAATCTACAGCCTCGGTAAAACCCTTGTAGGTTGTCCTCAGTTGCATTTCAGGGTCCTGAAGCAACCAGCTAGGAGGGAAGACAATCAGGTAATCAATGGAGAAGATGAGATAATAACAATAATAACAATAACAACAATAATAAAAAACCTCAAGACCCCTAGCAGTTTTTTGCTCCCCCTCCCCCTTAAGCAGGCTTCAAAGAAATGGGCTGGATCAGACTGGACATTCCGCTTGGTTTTAAATAGTTTTAAAGAAGTTCTTTAAAACATTCATACATACTCACACACACACATATCATTGGAGACGTGGGTAGTGGGCACCTGTTAGAATGGAGAAAGAAAGAGAGAAAGAGAGAGAGAGGGAGGAGAGAGAAAGAAAAGAAGGGAGGGAGGAAGAAAGGAAGAAGAGAGAGAGAGAGAGAGAAAGAGAAAAGAGAGGGAGGAAGAAAAAAGAAATAGAGGGAGGGAGGAGAGAGAGAGAAACAGAGGGAGGAAGAAAGGAAGGAGAGAAATAAAGAAAGGAAGAAAGGAGAAAGGAAGGAAAGAAAGAGAGAAAGGAAGGAAGGAGGGAGGGAGGGATGAAGAAAGGAAGTTTCTTTTGCAGGAAGTTTTTCTCAGAGAAATGGCCAACTGAATTTTCTTAGTATCTGTACATTTCATGATTTTTGAACCTAGAAAAGGGGAGATGTTTTGTATAAGACTGCAATGGCCTTAAATACAAGTTCAAATGAAGAAAGTTTGCCCTAGAATGCAAAGCACGTTGCTTGTTTTTCCCGCCCTTTCTAAACTTGCCTTAAATTGCAGGTTTAAATATCTGAAAATGTCTAAAATACGCAACGGCGTGCAATTGGGAGAAAACCAACTCGAAGTGAGCTCCCTGAAAAAGAGGATGGGGAAGGTGAAGAGAGAGGCAGAAACTTTCTTTGAGCCAAGATTCTTTAGAGACACTCAATCTCTGGTGGCAAAGACAAATGGAAAAAAATATTTTTTTAAAATAAGTAGGACTGGTGAGTGTTGGTGGCCCCCCTTGGGATCCAGTAACTAGGAAGGATTTTTCAAAGATGACGTTGGACTCATCAAGAGTATTGCTTGAGGGCCTGACATCAACAGATTATCCCCAGAGGGAAGAATAAAAACCAGTGTAGGAAAATAAAAAACGAACCCAGCTGAGGAAATCAGTAACTAGAAAGGAAGATGGAGGTATTTGGAGAATCAGCCAAAAATGCAGGCCAAATCAGGCCGTCCAGGTTAAATTTGCAGCCTAACTTAAGCCCAGGGCAAGAAGTCATCTGTAGGTAGACGATCAGAGATTAAAACTCTCTAATTACAGGTAGAGAGGTTGATGGGCTTCTGCAGATTGAGTCCTTTGTGTCAGGGTTCCGGTGATTGCCCTAATTAAATCATGAGTCTCGAGCCAAGCTGCAAAAGAATGGAAGTCCCACCCTGAGCCATAAATATTCTATTTGCCCCCTCTGTTCTGAAAAGAAGGCCAGAAATCAAGATACTTAGGGGCGGACACATTTCGTGCCTGGAATAGACCCACATGCCCTACTTACACCCTCCGCCATTATGGATCCCCAAATCATTCTCTTGAAAAATGTGACCCGCTGCTTTTATGTGAAATAGGCGTGAAGGGAGGAGGGAGCGAAGGGAAGGAAGGCAGAAAATGCTTTTATGCTGAATAATTGAATGCAGA